GGTCTGTATGTGGGATCCAAACCCTCGGCGGTAGCGCCGCCACGCTCCCAAGTAGCGCACTGTAGCAGTGTGCCACCGGGCCGGCCCTGAGCTTCCTTTTGCAGGTGAGGAAACTGAGGTTTACAGGGATGGTGAATCCTTCATGAACTCCATTTCTGGATGCACCTCTGAGAGCAAAAGTGAGTGTCTGGTGTTAGAACAACAGTGGTCACCAACTGCCACTGGACCTCACTTGGAGCCTTGAAGCTCGGGCTCTGAGGTTTGAGGAATGCCCCAGGAGGCCACAAGGGGTTTGAGGCCAATCAGAGGTGGGGGCGCCTGGTGCTGGCTTGTCCTGAGGGTCTTGGGGAGGGAGGAAGGAGAGGGATGTCCTCACCTGGGCTCACTGCTGTCCTCCTCCCGCCTTCCACAGTTCTCCTGGGCCAGCATGTCGGATACCAGCTTGAGGTCTGCTCCGTGTGGGACACAGCCTTCTGGATGGCCAGGAGCCCCTGCTCTGTGGGTAGACGGTGGAATGCCTACCTGTGACGTGTGGGTCATCTCACTGGACTCCAGCTGCCGCCCGGGCTGCAGGGAGAGGCCATGCAGTCAAGGTGGGCAGAGGGGTCTTGGGGATCTGGGGACAGCGGACAAGAAAGTTGTATTATGGTGGCAGATGGTGCCCACAGGCAACAGGAGGACTTGAGAGGGGGGCCCTGGGCCAGGCTGGCTTCAGGAAGCGAGAGGCAGGCAGGCAGGTGGCCATGGCCAGCCAGTTTGAGGTAGCAGCTCATAGGTACTCACCACAGAGAGCCATGGGGTGGTGAACCAGGGAGGTGCCCCCCACCCATGATCACAGGAAGCTCAGGTCTGAGTGGGGGACCAGAGGACCCCGCTTGAGCAATGTTCTCACATTTCCAGCCCAGAGCCTTTTGGGTGAACCTGGGGCCTCTCCCCCACAAGGAGCAAACCTAGGGTCCCGTTCAAGCACGGTCTTGGCCTGCACGGACAGACGTTCTGAGAGACACCAGCGGGAACCACAGTGTCAGGAAAGAGGCTCCCTAAGGGATGTGACAGCCAGGGCTTCAGGAAGCAGCCTGGGCTCTGTGCCCAGCAGCAGGGGCCAGGGAGCTGGGGCTCCCATCTGTGGAATGAGGGGGGCTGGGCTATGGACCCCCAGGGCCCTTCCAACCCTCACACTCTGAGCACACTTGAGTCTTGGTGCAAGCCCAGGAGCTCTTCACTCCTGGAAGAGGCCAGGTCTTTCCAGTGAGGGATCAGGAGTGAGAGAAGGTCCCACCACCTACCGGGAGTGGGGCGGCAGGCGTTCCCGGCCTGCCCATGAGCAGGGGCCAGCCAGGCAATGCGTGCTGCTGCTACTGCTGCTGGTCCTGGAGCTGTGGCTCCTCCTCCAGCTGCCTACAGTGCATATCATTGTGCCTGCGGGGACGAGACAGGACAGTGGGAGGTGAGGCCAGTGGTGGGACCCCTGAGCCCATCGCTTCAGCAATGCTAATGCCCCATGCCCCACTGAGTGGGCAGAGCGTGGCTCGCTCCCTCTGTGGTGCTCCCCACAGCTGAGGGCTGCCCACATTGGCCTGTGTGTGCACAGGGAAGCTGAGACCAGGAGAGGTCAGGAGGTGGGCCAAGGTCACCCCTGAGGGTGGCTGGGGGACACAGCAGAGGACAGGGGTCAGGAGTGACAGCAGATGCCAGAGGTCGGGGATACACTGGATGCCAGGAGTCAGCAGACATAGTGGATGCCAAGGGTCAGGGGACACAGCAGATACTGGGGGTCAGGGGACACACTGGACCCCAGAGGTTGGGGACATAGTGGATGCCAGCAGTTGGGGCACAGTGGACACCAGGTGCTTCTGCAGTAGCCAGTGTCCCTGTGAATGGGCAGGGAGTGCCTGCCGCCTCTACCTTTATCACATCACTGCAGCAGTAATGAGACCCCTTGGAATGATGCTGAGCACAGCACTAACACCCTTTCTCTCTCCAACAACCAGGACAGCATGGGCTGCTCATTGCATGTGTGATTAACAGCCCCGTCCCTGTGCCTGGAAGCCACCAAGCAGGCCCCCCAATATGGGTGGAGGGTGAGGGTTTGGTCCCAGGCTCTGCCGGGCAGCAGAAGATGGTGGATCTGCTCCCTCCCTGTTGAGGCCATGAGGGGTGGGGAGGGACCGTGAGGCCGGCCCGTGGCAGTGGCACCTCATCTCCAAGTGCCAGCACTGCAACTCCTCCAGCCGCGTCTTGGCCAGGAGCTGCCACTTCTCAGTCGCTCCTCCAGGAGCTTCTGTACTTTGTTGCTAGGCTTGATGGTGATGGGAAGGTTGGGGTTCACTTTTTTCTGGAAACAGAAGTTAAGGCTGTGAGATTAGAGACCTTCATTTAGACAAGAATGCGGGGTCAGGTCCCAGGGACAGAAGGAGAGACCCTGAGACTAACCTCCTCCTGCTGTGTTTATACAATGGTGGGGTTTAAACCCCCCAAAGTCTTGAAACTCCTCACCCCAAGAGCAATGGCAGGGAAAAGGGTCTACTGAGCAGGAACACAACCATGATTGACACTCAGAGTTGACAGATAGTGGCCAAAAATAAAAGCTTAACCCACAGGTTATAGACCTGACAAAGGGGTCACAGGAAGGTGCTGGAATATGACTGGTGAATAACTTTGATGATCATGGGATATTCCCTGAAAATTCAATGCAAGAGCACCTTCTGATTTTAACTAAAGACACTCATTCCCAAATAAAATAATTCAGGACGCACAGCACTTGAGTGAAATCCAGCAATATATATTTTAAATAGCTCTGCCAAGGCATTTGTGGAACTTCATTCTTAGGTCTCAATTTCATCAGTCCAAAATTACAAAGTGTTGTCCAAGGAATATTCATTGGTGGAACAACCCAGAAGTCTATCAAGGAATAAAGGACAAATACAATGTGGTCCACTCCACACACTGGAACGTTACTTGATCACGAAAAGGAACGAGGCTCTGACACATGCTACCACATGGATGGACCTTGAACTCATCACACACAGTGAGAGACGCCAGACACAAAAGGCCACATAGCATGTGACTCCATTTACGTGAAATGTCCAGAACAGGCTGATCCACAGAGACAGAAAGTGGATTCATGGTTGCTGGTGATGGGGGAGGGGATGGGGAGTGACTGCTGATGGGGATGAGGCTTCTTTTTGAGGTGATAGAAATGTTCTTAAATTAACTGTAGTGATGATTGCACAACTCTGTGAACATACTAAAAGCCAATGAGCTGTGTACTTTGCACGGGTGAAATGTGTGATGCATGGATGATACCTCAGCAGAGCTGTTAGAGAGAAAGAAGCCCTGTCACCCAGAGGAGAGTCACGTGTGCATGTGTGTAAGCACACCAAGGCTTGATTCTCACATGTGCACGTGTGGTGACAGGTCCTGGTGCCCAGGCAAACACAAGAAAGGGAAGCCTCATAAGGTCAGCTGATGGCCCCTCTGGTGAAGCCCCCAGTGCTGAAGGGGTCCTGGTGAACCCCTTGGCCACCCAGAGCCAGTCCCTACTGAGCCCCTGCTGGCCCAGGATCAGAAGGCCCCTGGGCTCCTCCAAGGACAGCTCCCTGGAAACAGCTCAGCCTGGGGGCCTGGTGCCCACCTGCAGGAGTGACCCCTGCTGATACCCTTCTTGGCACTGAGTCTCCAGGTGCTTCTCTCCAGCCTACATGCTTTCTGTCCTCAGCCCACAGGAGCCCCAGCACACTCCTCACCAGAGCCCATGCATCTCATCAACAGGGCAAGGCTCAGACCAGGCACAGAATTCCCATCTCAAGCATGGTGTCAGCTTGGGACACCCAGGAGAGCTCAAGAAATAGCAACACGTGTCTACCTATGATCACCAAAGTGACAGGGTGTCTGAGAAAACCAGGCAGCATTTGTGCGTCTGTTTCATGTTCATGTTAAGGACTTGACCATGTGTCTTGGGAATTGCCCCAATCAACAAGTGGGTGCAAAGTTTAAAACTAAATGGCCACCAGCGAGAGATGAAATGCACTTGGCAGACACCATGTTGTGCTTGTTCCTATGGTTTTATTCCCTTCCCTTGTTTCACTGATCTGCCTGCAAGTCTCCTGTTTGACCAAAACTGAGGACGCTTTCCAAAATAATGCATGAATGTCACCGGTTTGCTTCTATCCAGCCACCCACCCACCCATCTATCCATCCATCTGTGCACCTATCCATCCACCCACCCACCCACCCACCCATCCATCCACTTATGCATGCATCCATACTTCCTTCTGTCCCCTAGTTCTTGAGTCCCCCTCTGTGGAGGTACTAGGCCAGGTGTGGGCCTAGAACATGAACTGTGAATTGAGGCAGAGGAGGACATCCCCTTGCCTCTAAGGAAGCGTGGGAGGAGCCCAAGAGAGAGCATCCAAAGTTAAGGGAGCAGGAAGAGCTTACGGGGCTCATGGTACCGACACTGAAATATGGCTGAGACTGCGGCCGGCAGGGCTGCAGACAAAGCTCCTCAGGCAAGAGCAAAGGGAGCCACTGAGTTCATCAGATCACCTGGGGCAGAGGAGACTTCTGATCACAGTGGTCTCCTGGCACCACGCGCAGGCTGAGCCTCTGCTGGATGCACCTTGTACTGCAGCTGGTGCCGCCACCCCTTCACTTGCATGTCCCTGGCACTGGGGTCATTGAAACTGCACTCATGCAGCTTGCAGTCATCTTTGCACACCTGAGACACAAAACAGATGAGCACTCACCAGGCACAAGGCCAGAGGAAGCGACCGATGCGTGGGTGGCCGTAAGCCTTCCCAGGTGGCTCAGGCCAGTGACCTGCTTGTGATTTCCGCTGACCATGGGCCCTTCCTGTTTCTCTCTTTCATGCGATTTTGTTTTGTTTTGGTGCCTGGCTGGTACAGGGATTGAACTCTGGATCTTGGTGTTAATCAGCACCATGCTCTAACCAACTGGGGTGACTGGCCAGCCCTCCTGTGGCTTTTTTTTTTGTCTTTTTGTCTTTTTCCATGTCCGGCAACGGATCGCAACCCTCAGTGTCGCCCCCGTACCGGACCGGGACCGGCAACGGGATCGCAACCCTCGGTGTTGCTCCCGCGCCTCGCTCAGCCAGTGAGCGGGAACCGGTCTGTATGTGGGATCTGAACCCTCGGCGGGAGCGCTGCCGCGCTTCCCAAGCGGCGCACTATAGCAGTGCGCCACCGGGCCGGCCCCTCCTGTGGCTTTTAAAAGGTGTCTCTTCTTAACTAAGTGGCGGGGTCTCCAACAACATGATCCCAGCTGCTGTGGTTATCTTGTGCTGGACAAAACAGAAGACGCTGAATTGAACCAGAATGCAAATGTGAGGACAGGAGGAACGGTAACCCTCTCTCCTCCTCTTAGCCACGTGCACCTCTGCAGAAGCAGCATAGCATCTTCTTATTGCTGGAGCACTCAGGGGCCTGGGGACCATGGACTTGGCTGTGGAGAAGGCCTCTGAATTAAGACAAGCCTCGTGGGTCAATGATCTAGGCTGTGGGTGTCCGCATGGTGGCCCTGCAGGGCACACGCTGCCTCCGCATGACCCGTCTGGGTCTGGGATTCTGGATCCCACACCTAGGGGAACACTTGTCCCATGACAGGCTGGCCAGGGTTGGAAGGCCGCTGGCCCTGGAGCCAGGAGATCTGGATGGGGCTCGGCTCTACTGCTCAGCTGGGCCTTGGTGGGTCCTAAGCCCCTCAGGCCCAGTAGAGGGGCTGGACAGAAGGGTCTCCAAGCTCTTGTTGAGCTTTCTACTGCCCCGATTCCTCTTCCACCTTTCTCCCTGTAGAGAAGAGGGTGACAGCTCCACGGGGCCCTGCTGAGAAATGCCTCTGCCTCTCTCAGGCCTTCACGGGGCCATGTTTGGTCCCTTCTAGCATAGGAAATCCAGAACCTGTACCGTTGGGCAGGTCTGCTGAGAGTTGGGCTCCTCAAATTCTGTCCATGGAGCATGTGAATACGGATGGGTTTGTCAGTCTTAAGTGGAAGAACCTGGGTGGAGTCTAGAGTCCGACCCATAGGAGGGCACCTCTCCACTAGAGCCCAGACGTGGCAATGGCCCCGACCCACCTCCTCCATGTAGTTCAGGCCCACTGGCTGCGCATCACAGCAGTCCTCCAATGCTTCCTCTGAGCTTCCCTGGGTGGGCGGCTGTCCAGACCCCTCTGGTTTGGCTTGTGCCAGGTTCCTCTCCTGGGGTCTGCTGCCTGCTGCCAGTGGCTCAGGAGACCCTGAAGGGGAACAACTATGTTTACTTATAACCTGCACCGGCTGCAAATCCGCCAGGCTGTGCACGGTGGAGAGCCATCCAGACACAGGTCCCTCGTCTGTTGTCCCTTTCCCTCCTTGTGACATCCGTGGGACCACCCCGGCAGGGGGCCTTACCATCCCTTTCACACTGGCTATGTCACAGCCAAGAAAACAATGAGACCAATATCAATCCATCAAGGAGAAGCCCTGGTTTTAGGTGCCTCGCTTGAGGAACCCACCAACTGTACAAAATCCACAGCACTCAACTAATCAATAAGGAATATCAGGTGGACCAAGGGGCCCACTTAGCCTAGCCCCTGCACTAGGCAAATATATGGACTCTTGGGAGAGAGAGATTTGGTTGTCATCAAAACTCCTTGATGGTTTGATCTTCAGAATTATGCTATTACTCAAGAAACAGTGCTGCTGAGGCTAAAAATAACACGAGCCTCTCCCACTCCCCCACGTTCTGCACAGAACATGGTGGTCCAGGGCGAAGACTGTCAGATAGAACTGGGTTTGAATCCCACCTCCACCACTTACTGCATGGCCTGGAGCCAGGTGCTCACAAAGCCCCACCTCGCTTGTTCCATCTGCACATAGGGTCTAGTGACCAAGTCTACTTCAAATAGTGGTTGTGGAGGTAGATCAGGCAGTGCACACAGCAGTCAGCTGAGCACCTGACATTTAATCCTAGTTATTCCCAGCTTGATCCAACTCAGCTCTTCCTACCTTGGGCTCTTATTCAGGGAAGGCAAGGCTGCAGGTGGGGAGTACGAGGAGCCCACCTTAGTCTCCTGGTGTCCACATGACTCATCAGAGCCCAAACCATTCACCGTGAGCACCAGGACATGAAGGGGCTGCTGCCCAGCATGGTGGAGGCACAGCCCAGGGAATTCTCCATGCCTAGGGCAGCTGGAACTACCAGTGCCCCAGTATAGTCCCAAACTCTATGGGGGGAGATGGCATTCCATTCATTGGTTCTGTCAACATTTCCCAGAAATGGTCTCACATCGAGGGGTGGAGCTGTGTGGGCCAAAGGTGGAGCCCCCC